CATCACGTCGTGCCTTAGACGGGGGGTTGATGGCTCTCTGTATGTTGATGACTTTCAGATGTTTAATGGCTCTACAAACATGCAGACGATTTAGCTGACAATGGATTTAGGTTTTCGAAATCCAAGACCGTCTGCATGCATTTCTGTAAACGTAGAGGATTACACCTTGACCCAGTGCTACGCTTGGACGGTGCAGCCATTCCTGTTGTACAGGAATTTAATTTTTTAGGTCTCACCATTGACAGCAAGCTTTCTTTTCGTCCCCATATTAAAATCCTCAAGAACAAATGTCTGAAAGCCCTCAACATACTGAGAGTCTTATCCAATACTGACTGGGGAGCTGACCTCAAGGTCCTCCTCCGATTATATCGAGCTTTGGTTCGTTCCAAGCTCGATTATGGGTGTCGGCTCGTCAATCCTACATCAAAGAGCTTGATACCATACATCACCAAGGACTTAGAATCCGTTTAGGTGCATTTCGTACAACTCCAGTTGAAAGTCTGTACGTCGAGGCTAATGAGCCCTCATTGAACGACAGACGGGACAGACTTTCATTACAGTACGCCATTAAAATAGTATCTCTACCACCACCATCCTGCTTACCGCCCCGTATTTAGACCTTTCTTTGAGCATTTGTACGAGGCAAAGCCTCGGCTGGTATCAGCCACGACATTATTGCGGACTTCGTAATGACCACAGCTCCACCGTGGTCGATTGCTCTATTTCAGATAGACTTCAGCCTATCGAGCAATAAGAAAACTCAGACAAGCTCTATAGTGTTTCAATCTAAATTTCTAGAACTAAGGTCTAAATATGGGGATTACTCACCTTTCTATACAGATGGATCTAAGGATGGTGATAAGGTAGCAGCCGCTACAGTTACACCATCCGAAGTTCTATCTGTAGCTTTACCATCAGCAGCCTCCATTTTCACAGCAGAACTCATTGCCATTTTACAGGCACTTGTGTTCTTTCAGTCCTCTACATCATTAAAAAAATGTATTATATTTTCTGATTCTTTTTTTTTTCATTACAAGCTATTAATAACATCCAGCTTGTACACCCAATAATCGGGGATATATACAAGCTCTCTAGGCCGAAAAAGGACATTGTTCTTTGTTGGCTCCCCAGTAACATGGATATACGGGGGAATGACATGGCAGATGCGGCGGCTAAGGTTGCTTTGTCACTGCTTGTTTCCCTCTTTTCTTTGCCTTTCACCGATTTTAAATACTGATTCATAGATTTATTGATATTGACAATATTGAAATATTATTAAACTTGACAGTCTCTCTCCTGGGTAGATGCATTAGGGAAATCTTGAAAGGTAAAGGATTCATCGGAAAGCGAGTCAAATAGTAAACATAGCACACTTTCTGGAGCATAAGAGAAAAGAAGACAGCTAGCAGCAGCAATGCATAATTGTTTACATTCAGCTAAAGTGTCAGCTAAATATATATCGATCAATGGTAACAGAAAAACTGTACAATCATTTAAAACAAAAGCCGTCCCACAATCGGTAAAATTTCTATCAATATATTGCTGGTCAGTGCATTCGTCTTCGGTGACGCCACTGAGAGTGGCCGCTTTTTCTTCTGTTACCAATAATATTTTGGATACTAAAAAACAATCTGTAAAAAAGAATGGAAATATAAAAAAGAGGCTTCGTACAGTGGTAGGACAGATAACAATGACACATACTGTAGGTATTATTTATCAGTGGTGTATGTGCTGATTAAGACCAACAATTGACCAATTAAAAAGGCAATTGTTCATTGAACAAAGGGTGATTGCAAGAGGTACTTGTTTCACTAAAAGAATGGTAATTGCTCGCTGAAAGGATGGACTATATTTTTCAACAATATAGACTTTCAAGTAGTGTGATACCACTGAAATTTTCTTTCTCTTCTCATGCACACCAGAGTTAATCAAAATATTATTTTCATTGGTAAATGTTTAATTGCAAAACATCAATATCAAAGTACTCTTACCTTCACAATTACCATTAACTTCAAAGATTCCCAAACTATTACATTTAACATTTCCCATTCCTTTAAATCCTGCATTACAAGTAAATGTGTATTCTGCACCCAATTCTCTTGAAGTTATATTAGTGTCGAGAGTACCATTCTGTATAACTGGGTCGTCTTTACACAGATCCAGTATTTCTGCCAAGTAGAAAAATACATCATTTTGATTAAAATTTGTATCAGCAATACGTACTTGTGGCAACACTAACAGAAACAACTTATACTAAGCTCCAAAATGGTATACATGCATATTATTAAATCATATAAATAACTAATGAAATGGGTTACCGCTTACTGGAAGAATGGTAACTGTTGCATTCAAAGAAAGGTAGTTGCTTACTGAAAGATTGGTAATTGCCTTGGTTGAAATGGGCAATGCTTAACAACAATACAGACGTTCTTATCGGTAACTGTAATAGTATTGTGTTTCGCGCCTGTACTGTTTTCTTCTCATGGACACGAGAGTCTGATAACCGCGAAATATTATTTTAATTGCAAAAAAAACCAAAAAATAACGTAAACTTACTTTCACAATTACCATTAACTTCCCAAATTCCAAGCTTATTACATTTTACTTTTCCCATTCCTTTAAATCCAGCATTACATGTAAAAGTATATTTTGCATCAAATTTTCTTGAAGTTATACTAGAGTCGAGAGAACCATTTGGTATAACCGGATCGGC